GGATAATGACAACCTCAGAAGGCGACTCAATGAGCTCAGAAGGGCGTTGGATGGTAGGATCAATCTCAATCATGATGTAAGGATTCCCGAGCCATTCATCCGTCAGATCATGGACGCTCCATTGCCACAAGGGTACAAGCCTTGCAATATTGAGTCCTAGCAAGGGAAGACCGACCCCCAGCATCATGTTTCTTGGTACATGGCCTACATGGTGATGATGGGGTACAACGATGTGGTCAGGTGTAGAGGATTCTTAATGGCACTAGATGGACCAACCCGGGAATGGTACGACAATCACTATGTGACCCTATTTTTGTTATTTTCTTTCATGAAACCCTGTTATATGTGACCCTTAGCCTAAAAGCCAATCACTATCCATCCACCCTAAAATGAACTTGCATAAAATTTTAATGAGTTTAGAGAGTGTCATTCACCTTAAGGGAGCTTCATTTACACTTTTGTGATTACTTAGTTGTTAATATTCATTTATAGGGGTAGTTGTTCTTGTTGTATCATCATTGTACATATTATTCTTGTAAATTCTTATTGTTAGAAGCATGAAATAAGCCTTGAAAAAATTATCAAAAAAAAAATGAAAAAGAAAAAAAAATAAAAAAAGAGAGAAAAAAGAAAAAAGAAAAAATATATATATATATAAAAAAGAAGAACAAGGCTAAATGTCAATGTATATGCTTCTCTCTTTTGTATATTTTTCTTGTACATTAAATTACTCTTTTTACTACCCCTAACTGTTGAAAATAACAAGTGTTGTATAGATTATTGTCAAAAGCTCCTACTCACTACTTAGTACCTCTTTAAATTTGTTAAATTTATGACAAGTTCATTTCTTTTGTTTCCTCATTAACTCCCTTTGTTCATAAGCCTTTTCCCACAGACCCCATTATAACCCAATGTGAAAAGTCCTAATTGATCTTAATTGTGTTTTGTCTGAAATAAGTTGATAGGAAAATCTTATTTTGCATGGTTGAACAAACGAAGCTAGATTCCATTTTCACATCACACACTTTGCGTTTGTTAGAGTTAAGATTTGACCAAAACTTTTCAGATGATATGAAAAATATTTTTATGATTCTCACTACTCTTATTTTGTGACAAGTCAAGGGAATTTGATTGATCAAGTGGAGTGAAAGGAAAGTGTGCATGATTTGAAGGTTATACATATGATTTGGCAAATTCATTTTTGCTTGCTTGCTTGTGTGAAATGTAAATATTTTTGCTTGAGGACAAGCAAAATCTTAAGTGTGGGGGAGTTGATGTACTCCTAATTTACCATATTTATGATCTTGTTTTGTCACACTTTTAATAATTTATTTTTCATTTTAAAATAAAAAAAGGATTGATTTTTATCATCTTGAACATTTTAAGGTATTGCACTTGTTTTGGTATATTTTTGAATTTCAGGATAATTCGGGATGTAAATTGAAATTTTGAAAAGAAATAAAATTAATCCCGAGTGAAGACAGAAAAATCACCAAAGTGAAGCGGGTTCTTACTCTTACTCCGAAATATTTTATCAGAAGACCCGAAATATACTTCATAATTAACCAGACTGTCTGTAATAAAATGTATCGGTTAACTGCTGACCAATTAATTGATCAAACAGTCAACCGATCAAACAATAAATGGCAATAAGAGCCAAAAGTTGCCTGACAAAATAATTCACTCATTGTGAATCAATCAGGCCTCCACCGTAGAGAGTCCCAACAAAGAAAAATAAATTGAGTTATTGATGAGGCCATACCTTGAAGGGACCACCTACAAACTCCATCAACTTGAAATGAAAATCGTCCGCATCACCTTCACTCAGCAGTCGGCAAACAGAAGAGAACAGTAGCCGATGAAGAAAAAAAATGGCAATTGAACATCGGCCAATACTATTTACAGAAGGAAATTAAGAGCAGCGCTCAAATCTGATGGAACACTGAAGTAAGAGCACACCGAAAATTATTAATCAACATCTTCATTTCAGATTTCTCCTTCTCCAGCTGCTATATAAAGGGCCATTTGGGAGTTGCAAAAGACACCAAGTTCTGATAGAAATCATTCTTCTCTTTTTATTAGTTTATACGAAGTATTAGTAGCCATATAATAAAAGTGATTCTGCCAAGAACACTTTCTGTATAGATTTCAGTTTATAATTCTCAGTTCCAGAATTTTAGCTTGTGATATTTGGTATTGAAGTTCATTTGGGTTTATCAGTTCGTTCAATCAGTTCCAGCTTAATACAAGGATTTCATCTTTTCTATTTCAGCCCATCTATGTTCTTCATTATTTTATGCCTTCAGATTCTTACTTAAACACTCACTTTAATTTCCTTAATCTGTTAAATTTATTATGTCTTTCATGAATTTTGCTTTTATTTTATTTACCGTAATTATGTGTAACTAAATTAAGTTTAGGCTTGGGCAAGATGTAATTTTTACTATTAATGTTCATATGATAATAATTGGTTAAAACTATTAATTGGTTAATTTTAGGAGTGCTGGGTTGAATATTCTAATCTGCTAAATACATTATATTGGGAAATGAATATTATCACGGGAGTGAAATTTCATTAAAATACTTTTTATGAATTCACCCACTAAATTGCTACACGGAAGTGTTAAGGAATTTAGGATAATTTGATTTTGTACTTTTTACTGTCTTAATAAAATTACTGCGGGAGCGGAATTAATTTAAGATAGTGTAATCAACTAAGTCGTGGGAACGATTAGAAGATTACCATTTGTAAATCTTTCACACAACTAAAAGTAACTAAGTTAATTAGTTAAATCTTTATTATTATGAACATCAAAATAAAATTACTCTTAGCCCAAGCCTAATTTTCTCTATCATTAATTGTTAAATTACCAAGTATTGTGATTTATTTTACTCCCTAGTAATTCCGCATTTATAAAAACAAGATAAAAAAAATCTGTTCACTTAGCTCCATTGCAAAATGTTATTAATTTGTGATTAGCTAAAAATCAATCATTAATTCTAGTTCTCTTTGTGAGTCATTCTCTAGCGGAACGATACTCACTTACTCTATACTATATCGTTACAAGCCAATTAAAACATCATTTCCATTCACATTTTTACATCATTTCACACTACACATTTTGGTCTGTCAGATACAATAGTCTATAGAGTCCTTATAGAGAACGACAGTTCAGTGAACATGATGTACTTGGACACATATCTGGAGACTGGGCTCCTAAAGGAAGCCTTGAAGCCGGTGAAGACCCCCCTTTCAGGCTTCACCGAGGACGTGATCGAGCCGGAGCGAGCAATCACCCTCACGGTTCAGCTCAGATCAGAGCCGTGTGTGTAGACCGTGGAGGCAGATTTTGTGATAGTGCGTTTGCCAAGCGTTCACAAAGCCATAATGGATCGACCTCTGTTGGAGGACCTAAGAGCAATCATCTCTCAGGCTCATCTTTGCATGAAGGTTTACATCCAACCGGAATAGGCACGGTTAGAGGAGACCAGAAGATGGCGAGAAGTTGTTACGTAAGGGCTTGCCAAGCTCATGGGAGGAATGATGTTAGAATAAATGCCATAGAGCAGGACCTGTCAAATATGAGGAAGGGCAGTTTAGAGCTCAGCCCGTCTCAGAGCTGGAGGAGTTCGGAGTCGATCCCTCTCGGCCAGATCGGAGCAGGGCTGCCGACTGACATGAGAGCAAATATAGTCCGGGTCCTGAGAGAATTCAAGGCACTCTTTGCCTTGGGGCATGATGACATGCCCGGGCTCAATCAGAGCATAGCTATGCATCGACTGAATGTGAATCCCAAGGCAACTCCCATGAAGCAAAAGCAAAGGTACCTGTCTTTGGACAAGAAGGAGTTCGTGAAAGGGGAAGTGAGCATGCTGCTAAGAATAAGGCACATTCGGGAAGTGCAATATCCGGAATGGTTGGCCAACGTGGTTCTGGCGCCCAAACCAGCAACCTGGAGAATGTGTGTAGATTATATCGACCTAAACAAGGCCTGCCCCATGGACCCTTTCCCTTTGCCGAGTGATGTGAGTTTTCTCGCACTTAAAATATATTGTAATATAGTTGTGTACGAGTATCGTCTCCACAGGGACGGAAAAAAGGGAATTAAAAATTAAATAAATTCAGCGAGTAAAATAAAATAAAATAAATGTGTCGTGCGAGATTGGTTGGTTGAATTGGAATTAAACTAATGCGAATGAACGATTAAAATAAAAGATTGGTTTCTCTAATTAACGACGAAGGGAGCAGGGATTGATTCCGGGGTAATCAGATTTCTGGTTGATCAGACTTAATCATATGAAATTAATTTAATTGAGCCTAGCTAATCATTACTAAGTTCTTACCACTCTCACGGCATAGAGTACAATAATTTAGGGGACCAGACTGATCTCTCATGCGACAGGATCCTAAATTATTGCCAAGATGAGCGACCTTAGAGCCCCTTAACCGCTACTAATCTCTTAGCGAGCGATTAAGTGTGTGTGAATGTGTCTCAAAATAAATTAGATCTCTCTTAATTTATTCTACAAGCAATTGTAAGTCTAGCCGTGGTTCCGGGTTACAAAAGATATCAGCAAAATCATTCAAACACAAATTAAACGGTATTCATGCAATTAATCCATCAAGAAACTAGCCATACATCGTGATTAACCCCTTCATCAATCCCAAATCCCAAATTAAAACTACTCCCGACTCATAATTGAAGAATCAATAGAATTGGGAAGAATAGAAATAATTGTTATTAATTAAAAATTAGAAACTTACAAATAATCCCAAGGAATTGAAGAACAAAGCTGAAAAGCTCTCTAAAATTCGTCCTTAGGCCTCTCTATAAACTCCATCTCAAAACAGGGTTTATAGGCTATTTAAATAGGAAAAAAGGGGTAAAATTCGAGGTGATGGAAGGATAGTTTTGAGTGGGAAAAGCTGGATTTTGATCCCTTATATGATTTTGGTTACCCTCGTGCATTAACTGATGGAATTTCATATGGGTGTAAAAGTTTAGACCCCGCAATGGGTAGACATGGTTACATCTTATACACATTTGACACATCCAGTGGAAAGACATACCAGATTCCAAAGAATCTCGAAAAGAGCTCTCAGTGTAACGCAAGTTGGGAATTTTCTCCGCCTTCTCTCTAAACTCTTTCGCACCCCCTGGGTCGGAACTGTTTAGCACGCTTGCGTTCTTCGCTCTTGAGCAATAATCCACCGTTCAATCCTTGATTTCTCTCTTGTTTCTGGTTCGGAATCTTCAGGGCTTTCTTATCTGCAAGTTGGATTGGAAAAATCTGGGATTTTTAGCTGGTTACGAACTTCTTGGAAGTTGCAGTGTTCTCGGACACTGTTCATTCCCGAAATAGAAACCTGCTTCGGATCTGTTTTTGGACGGTTGTTTGGGGAAGAAGAAGGTTGTCTAGGGGTCGCTAGCCTCTGGCGCACCTCCCGAGCTTGGTTTCCGGCCACCCTTCCACCACCGTACCGGAGTTTGAAGAAATCCGTTGTGGCGGCGCACTGTTCACAGGAAGGCGTTGACTTCGGTTTTTCTCCATTTTTGGTCGTTCAATCTCTGTTTTGACGCCACCAATACAACCATCTGCTCAAGGCGAAGCTATTCGTACCTCTTTCACAAAGTTTGAGTAAGATTTTCAATTCTTCCCTCATTTTCGAACTTTACTGTACTTGTGCGCATGTACTTGTGAATTTTGATTTTGTGGGGTAGTTTTCTGCTTACTTTTTGTGGATTATTGTTACACCGTTAGCTTCGCCGTTCTGTGGAGAACATTCTGTGATTTTTTGAAATTTTTCTGCTTAGTTTTGAGTTCAAGTGTTACTGTTCATCTTCCCCAACGGGTAGCTGCTACAGTAATCCTGCGAACCCAGACCTAATTAGGGATCTTTCATTGTTTTGTTGCTTGTTTCCTGTGCAAACTAACCATGGCAGGTTATTATACAAGTTGAGGGGCTTCTCCGAAACTTTTTTGGGTTTGTTTTGCACGTTGTTTGGTTAAGGATAAGCAGTTTGAAGACAAAGTCAAGGACCTACTTGCCAAAAAAGCTGCGATGGAGGAGGGCAAGATGAAGAAGGCTAATCCAATGAAGGAGGTATCCCCTTCTATGGACCCTATTTTTGCTAACTCTTCTGGGGCTTTTGATAAGGTGCAGGGGCATTCTGGATCTTCAATTGATGTAGCCTCAATGGGGAATGATGGAAACTTGGTTGGGACTTCGTCCAAGATTGTGGCACCGGAGGGTGCTAAGGGGCATGGCACCTTTGCCGCGGCATCTACTAAAGCTGCGGCATCTCCTCAAGCCGCGGCATCACAGGCGTCCTTTGCTGAGAAGCTACTAGGGTTGGACTCCAACTCTACAAATGTCGCGACATCAGCTGAGCTCTCACTGGTTTGCAAGACTGTTGTAGACCCGGATGCACCTATCATTGAAACTTCGGATGAGAACAGCCCCCATAACATTGAAGATCTTGAGGGCTCCATTTCCCTTGGGTCCCATGATACTGAGTCATTATATGAAGATTTTGAGGAGGAACCTATGACTTATGTCTCTTTATTTAGGGACAACCGGGAACCATCCAATGGAATCAAGCTTGAATTCTTCCCTCCTACCGGGGAGAAACTTGACTTTTCTCACCTTCAAGTACCAACCCTTATTGAAATATGGGGCTACTGTTTGGTTGGCCACTTCTCCGGGAGGTTTCCAGGCCTTAAAGCTATCTTTGGTATGACGAAGAAATGGGGAGTCCAAGTTGATGTTAAAACCCATAGCAAGGGATGGGTTATCTTCAAATTCAAAAGCGACGAGGACCGGGTTAAAGTTCTTACCGAGGGCCCATACGTCCTATATGGGAAAACTATGTTTCTCAAGGCACTATCGGATGACTTCTCGTTTGAGAGTGAAGAGTTTTTGAAGGTACCGATTTGGGTGAAATTCCCAAACCTACACTTGAGACTTTGGCGTGCTTTGGAGATGGGGAAAATTGCATCCCAAATTGGGGTTCCTATCACAACTGACAAGGTCACTCAAGAAAAGACGTTTACAAAATATGCACGGGTTCTTATAGAAGTGGATGTCTCTAAACCTCCAATCCTTGATTTTCCTATTATTCCTCCCTCGGGAAAGGAATATATTCAAAGGGTATTGTACGAGACGTATCCAGAGTATTGCTATCATTGTAAGGAGTATGGCCACAACCCCTTTGAATGTAAAGTGCTCTACCCGCATTTGGCTACAACCAAGATTGTTGCGAATAAGGGCAAAGGAATTGAAGCCGCGGCTTTGAAGATGGGGAACAAGGCTACGGGTTTAGACAAGGGCAAGGGCATTGCCGAGGACATTGACCCCCCTTTCAAGGAGGTGACGCGTAGGAAGGGAAACGCCAAGGCAAAACTACATCTCGCAACGGGCGTTGCTTCAACGTCTAACGCCATGCTCCTAAGCCTACAACTTTCGAGCCGAAGCCACAACAAGCTAGGGGAGGTGCATCAACGTCCAATGCCAAGCTTCCAAAGCCTATCGTATCTAACCTTGGGGTTAGTATTTCTAAGGAGCTGCTGGTTCCTTCCCTTAGCATTAAGCCGCGGCCTAGTGTTAAATTCTCAAAAGAACGACATCAACTTATGGTTATTTCCAAGGACAAAGATGGAAAAGAGACTTTGACTAATCTTCCTAGAGGCTATGTAGTAAGGAGTGTGCATGAGATGGATTCTAAGGACATTGTTACCGGTGTTTTTATTGATGAAAAAGGAAGGTCACTTGCTACTACTATTGATTTGGATGAGCTGCCGGATGGAGAAACCTTGATCAAGGTGGGGGCTGACCTCAAGCCGGTCACAAATGAGGAGGATCCGGGTGTTTATTTCACCCACAGTGGCTTAGTGAAGCTGCCCGGTGTAAATCGGAATGGAACGTGGTATGACTTTGAACCTAAAGCTTTTATTGCTAACACTTTTTCTTTCTTTGATCCGTGTAGCAAGAACAATGTTAGTTACTACAAGGAGCTATTGAGGAGAGAAAGAAGGAGTGCAAGGAAGAGTGCAGCCGAGGGTGGAGGTCCCACCATGGATCTTTATCTTACTTGATGACAAAGTGTTTGGTATGGAATGTTAGGGGCCTAAATAAGGCCTCTAAACATAATTTAATTGCATCTTATATCAAATCAAATAATATTTGTTTTGTATGTTTTTTGGAAACTAAAATGACTTTGGCCCATTAAATAACTATATTTCAAATAAGTGGCCGGGTTGGATTTTTGAGAATAATTTTGACTTGATAAATGGAGGGAGAATTGCGGTCATGTGGAATCCAAACTTAATTAAGGTTGATTTTCTTGAAAGAGATAAACAATTCTTACATGCTAGGTGTGTGTGTTGCATTACACAAACCCCTTTCTTTGTGTCTTTTGTCTATCCATTATACACGGTCCTAGAAAGGAAGGCACTTTGGGACCATTTGAATTTGGTTGGTGATCATGTGTCCGAACCATGGATGGTGTGTGGCGATTTTAATTGTATTGTTACGCCCAATGAAAGGGTGGGTCCTACCCCCCTACGGCGTATGTAATGCAACACTTATTTGATTTTAAGGTTGCCAATAGCCTTGAAGATGCACCCTCCACGAGGGAGTTCTTCACTTGGAACAAAGGCGCACTTTGGGTCAAATTGGACCGTGTACTAATAAATGAAGTGTGGGGAATCAAAGGCATCGGTTGTAGGGTCCATTTCCATGAAATGGAGGTCGAGTTTGACCATACGGCATCCGTAGTGTCAATACTCTTAAACTCCTCTCCTAGACCCAAACCGTTTAAATTTTTTAACATGTGGCTTAAACACACTGATTTTGCTAATATCTTAGCCTTGCATTGGAGTCAGAATTTTGTAGGTACGGCTCAATTCAGGTTGGTGAAGAAACTTAAGGGACTTAAAAGGCCCCTAAAAAATCTCAATGCCGCGGAATTTAGTCATATCTCTTGTAGGGCAAAGAGGGCAAAGGAAGAGTTCAAACGGTTGCATAGATTGGCACTTCTAGATCCGGGGGATCAAGAAATCAAGGCCCAACTGTCCATAGCTTCAAAGAAAGCCACTTTCCTAGGTGAAGCCGAGACAATCTTCTTCCAACAGAGGGCTAAGGCTACGCACATACTTGAGGCGGACAGGTGCACCAAATACTTCCATGCGATCGTCAAGAGGAACCTGGCCAGGAATGCTATTTCATCACTTACCTTGGAGGATAGTACCCTTACCACCTCTTTGGATCAAGTGGGAAATTAATTTGTAAAGTTTTTCATTGATTTATTTGGAACTAATGCCACTTTCCTGGACCTGGACCCATTGGTTTTACCTTTGGGTCCATCAATTGAGCCTAGTGCTCATGAGAGTCTCATTGCCCCGGTAACATCGTTGGACATTAAAAATGCCCTATTTGATATAGGCAATGATAAGGCTCCGGGTCCGGATGGATATTCATCTGCCTTCTTCAAGGCCAATTGGAATGTTGTTGGGAATGACATAGTCCTAGCGGTTAAGGAGTTTTTTAGTTCGGGAAAGTTGCTAAAATAGATCAACCACACTGTCATAGCGCTTATCCCAAAAACAAATCACTCCCCAAAAGTCTCGGACTATAGACCCATTTCGTGTACGAATGTCCTATACAAAGTTATTACGAAAATTCTTGCGGCTAGATTAATTCCGTGTCTTCCGGGATTAATTGATCATGCCCAAGGTGCTTTTGTGGATGGCCGTCTCATGATTAATAACATTTTCCTTGCTCAGGAACTTGTTAGATGATACACGAGAAAGCGAATTTCACCAAGATGTATGATCAAGGTGGATTTGCGTAAGGCCTATGATACTATTTCATGGGATTTCCTTGAGGCGGTTCTCAAGGGCTTGGGCCTCCCTTTGAGATTTGTGGGTTGGGTTATGGCATGTGTTACCACGGCGTCGTTTTCTGTTTCTCTAAACGGATCACTATATGGGTTTTTTGAGGGAAAAAGAGGTATTCGTCAAGGAGATCCAATGTCTCCCCTCTTATTTGTGCTATGCCTAGAATACTTTTCTCGACTTCTTAACTTGAAAACCAAGAATCCGAATTTTAAATTTCATCCAAAATGCGAGCCTCTTAAGGTTGTGCATTTGGCATATGCAGATGATCTTATGCTATTCTCTAGGGGCGACAAGGTCTCAATTGAAACTCTTGTCAAAGCTCTACAAGAATTTGGGGACGCATCGGGCCTTAGGGTGAATTACAACAATTCTAACATCTTTATAGGTGGGGTTAATGAATTTGATCTACAAAACATTATGGATATTGTTGATTTTGGGAAGGGTGAGTTTCCGGTTAAATACTTGGGAATTCCCCTTGCCCCTCTTAAAGTCTCGGTGGCACAATATGTCCCTTTGCTTGATACGATTTCTGACTTTTTGAATGCATGGAATACAAAATCTATTTCTTATGCCGAGAAGATTGAGCTAATTAGATTTGTGATCCAAGGGGTCCAATCTTTTTGGCTACAAGTCTTTCCTGTACCACGGACCATCCTGGATCGTATTGTTTCCATTTGTAGAGTGTTCCTATGGGGAGGGAAGTATGCCAAAGTGGCATGGGATGATATCTGCCTTCCCAAAGGGGAAGGGGGCATTGGTATTCGTAATGCCAAGGTTTGGAATCAGGCCCTCCTTTCCCGAACGCTCTGGGATGTCCACCTTAAGAAGGACACTCTTTGGGTGAAATGGGTTAATGGAATTTACCTCAAGGGCTGAAGTGTGTGGGATTTCATCCCACACACCTGTGATTCGACTTTCATCAAGAGTTTGGCTATAATAAGGGACAAAATCAAAGGTCATTTTAATAACCCGAATGATACTATTATGGGGTTAGCCTCTAGATTTATCAACGGTAAACTGATTTCTAGCAAAATCTATGAATTATTGAGAACAAAGGGGACGGCTAAGGTATGGATGAGCTTCATTTGGAAATCTTACATCCCTCCCAAATTCTCGTTTAATGTTTGGCTTGCGTTCCGGAATAGGTTACCTACCCAGGATAACCTTGAATATTTGCATATTGTGAATAGATGTGACCTTTGCAAGGGTGGCTTGGAGTCAATGCCACACCTTTTCTTTGCTTGCCCTCTCACTTGTAGGGTATGGGAGCACATTAGGATTTGGCTTGGGATGACGCATCATATGACCACGATGTCTAGCTCAGTCAAATGGATCTTGAAGGACCACAAGGGATCGAAGTTGATGGGTAAAGCAGTTCGGGCTGCCTTTTGTGCTACTATATATCACATTTGGCACGCTAGGAATGCTAATCGATTTGATGACACAAACAAGAATGAAGACGAACTAGTTGCTAAAATTAAAAATGTGGTATATAAGATACTCTTCAACATATACCCGTGTGAGATGATTAAGTTTTGACGAATGCATTGGACTACAACTTGGAAGCCGTGGCATATGTGAATTGTGAAGCCGCGGCATGGGAGAACCTCTGAAGCCGTGGCATGTGGAGCAGTGCGAATGCAGCTTGCATCACGATTTCTTAGTTTTGATTTTTGAAGTTAAAGGAGCACACAATAGCCTCCTTTGGCTTTGGCTTGATTTTTTGATTTTTGGAAGAGCTATGTGCGTGCACACTCGCAGCACTGATTCTGATTTTGTTTAGCCTCGGGCATTGGGTATATTATACTTAGGCCCCTGATTTTTGTTTTTGGACTAGATCGAACCAAAACCTCTCCTAACCCCTACGCTAGGTAGGGGGGGGGGGTTAGGAGATCTAAAACCCATGATGTATAGTTTTTCTTTGGGTGTTAATATATATTTACATTTCATCCAAAAAAAACATACCAGATTCCAATGCCTAGGCTTCAAAATTTCAATCTCACCGAGGATTATTTTGATTACTTAATTCCTATAGGCCACTTTAAGCTTTGCCTTTTGTGGCATAGTGTCAGAAAGGGTAATGTCCTCTTCTATGTCAAGGTTTTTGTTTCTTGGTCCAAAAAAGGTGGAATCTCCCACCCCAGGAGCCCCCCATATCCCGACCCGACAGGATTTTGGGCAGGATGTTAATCACCGTGACTCAGTCGGTCCAATGATGGTAGGCCTTTTTCCCGTGCGCACCAGAGGCCCAGCCTTATTTCAGGTTCTGTGACCTCCACACGGCTGCTGCGGGTTTCGTACCTTGGTCACTTGATCCAAATTTCCTACCACTGAACTAACTGAGCTACCCGTGCGGGTAAGGTTTTTGTTTCTCTGCGTCCTTTAAGGTGCACTCTTTTGAAAGAAGCTGTTTTGGGAGACATTAAGCTTGATCAACTTGAAATAGTCAATTGTCTACCTTTGTAAGTACTTTTCACCCTTTAGTTCAAATAAGATGTACTCCGGTTTTAGATGTATTAATTTATTTGTGTTCCTAGTGATTCTTCTTTGTATCCAACGAGAGCGGTGAAACAATATGCACCTACCATAGCTGAAGTTATAGCAGCAACACACATCAAAGGGTAATGTTTAGTTCATCATTAAGTTAAACACTTTTTTTTCATACCTGTGATCCCCAGTTAACCTTGATTCATACTATAACGAATTGAGTGATTATGGGCATGTGGCTTAAGTGTGCATACTGCGTTTTCAAGTAAAAAGCGGAAGCAGGCATTGTCATGATGTACTCCTAATTTACCATATTTATGATCTTGTTTTGTCACAGTTTTAATATTTTATTTCTCATTTTTTAAATAAAAATGATTGATTTTTATCATCTTGGACATTTTAAGGTATTGCACTTGTTTTGGTATATTTTTGAGTTTCAGGATCATTCAGGACATATATTAATATCTGAAAAGAAATAAATATTAATCCCGAGTGAAGACGGAAAAATCATCAAAGTGAAGCGGGTCCTTACTTTAACTCTCAAATGTTTGATTAAGAGACCCGAAATATATTTCAGAATAAACCAGACTGTCCGCAATAAAATGTACCGGTTAACTGCTGACTAGTTAACTAATCAAACAGTCAGTCGGTCAATACATGCACAAAAATGATGTTTGTACACACTCTTATACACACTTTTGTACACACCTATGTCTGTGAAAGTTTTTTTTTGTCTGTGAACATCGATTCACAGACAATGTTTTGCATAAACAAAATATTGTCTGTGAACCGGATTCACAGACAAAAAACAAGCTTCACAAACATTGTGTGTATAAGGTATGTACAAGGGTGTGTACATCAAGAATGATTGATACACGCAAATGACGGAAATCAGGAAATGGAGCCAAGCCAAAAGTTGCCTGACAAACACTATTCACTATTCACTCAATAGTGAATAAATACGTAGAAGATAGAGCTCCCAAGACAAAGAAGAGAAAATAATGCGCTGGCAAGGACCTACTCATTCGTACAAGCCTATTTATTTGATCCATAGCCAATTCTCCAACCAATAGCCTCAGCCCATGTCATTAATTATTTGCCTCCATGAAGTCGCATCATCATCATCTTGATAGCATGACGAACACAGCGGTGATGGACTTTTCGTACAGAAATAAACAGAGCAAAAAGCTATTCATGGGACTGTTCTTTCGGCACCGATCATATCTGATGGAGATTAGGATAATCAATTTGCAAAATTATTATTTCCTTCAGCATTATTCTTGAATAATATTCAAGCTCCAAGAGTTCTTGAGTTGCCTATATAAAGGGCCATTTGGAAGCTGCGGAAGCACACCAATTCGGAGAGAAATCTCCTTCTTCTCTTTTCTTTAGCTTTAGTTTATATTAGTAGCCATATAATAAAAGTGATTCTGCCAAGAACACTTTCTGTATAGATTTAAGTTTACAATTAGTTAATATTAGTGTTTGTTATTATTTATCTGGAGACTAAGTATTTTTTTTTACCTGTTCTCATCACTTTCATAAAACAACAAAAAGAAAATCATTTCTTGTGCACTAAAAAAAATCTTAAAAAAATGTATGCATATTCGCTCTCAAGGGAGTGAAGGATTGCAAGCACTTAACCTTGATTTTGAAAAAGAATTAAGGAATAGAAGAAAAACACGAACCCTTGAACTTAAAATTCCAGATCTGATCATGGAGGATTTTCAAAACAATCTCAATAATCCAAATGGCCAAAACCTAATTCCAAATTCAAATCCTACGCCACCTCAAAATACACTCATTGATACTCCCAGAGAGACATAATCCTTTCTTTGGAGATCAAAGACCACCAGGATTTTAAAATTTCCAACAACTTCCTCCCCAAACACAACCCCAAATTTATCCACCACATCTCTACCAAAATCACCAAAACCAACCTCCTCCTCCATATCCATACACTTGCCCATATCCTTACCCACCTCCTCCATTTATGCACCCATATCAACCTCACCCATATGGCCAATACTACCAACACCCACATAATCAACAAAATCAAGGGCAATTCATGAGACAACAGCAAGGGAGAAGACTTCTTGATTATGTTGCAGGTGAAATTGAGGAACAAGACAGTATTCTCTATCCAGGCGTGGATGCAGCAAATTTTGAGATCAAACCAGCACTTATCTCATTGGTCTCAGCCAACAAATTTGGCGGATCAAAGAGTGAAGATCCGACGAGCCATGTGAAACAATTCTTGAGAGTTCTCCAAACTCTTAAACTTAATGGAGCCTCTGTTGATGCTATCAGACTCAGATTGTTCCCATTCTCACTGAGGGATGAAGCATTGAGTTGGTTGAACTCTAAACCATCCGGTTATTTCAACACATGGGAGAAGTTGCATCGAGAATTCATGAAGGAGTTCTATCCTCCTTCCAAGGCATCAAAAATGAAGAAACTTATCCAGCAATTCAGGCAACATCCATCAGAATCTCTTTACAAATCATGGAAAAGATTTAAAGACCTTCAAGTTCAATATCCACATCATAATATGAGCATGGGTGATCTCATTGTCTCATTTTATGAAGGATTACATGATAATTCCAAAATTGTTGTGGATGCCTCTGCTAATGGAGCTTTCATGGAGCTTGATCCTGAAATAGGCAAAGAGATGCTTGAGAAAATTTGTAACAATAGTGCATCATGGTATTCTGAAAGATCCACTCAAAAACTAGGAGCGAGAATTTATGAGGTTGACCAAACAACAGCTTTAACGGCAAAGGTCGATTCTCTCACAGCCATGGTTCAAAAGCTCACGGAGAAACAATCATCATCAACTTCTAGCACATCAACAAATCCATCATCATCTTTAGCTCAAGTTTTGTTCTGTGAACTCTGTGGAGGAGGACATTCTTTTAAGGAATGCAATCTTCTTGAACTTACACAAAATGTTCCTTCTGACCCCACAGTAGAACAACCTGAAGCTATATATGGTAGACCTCAAGTACCATATCAAGGAAACTATAACCCTCAAGGGAAGACACATCCATGATTCTCATGGAGCAACCCATCAGGTACAGCAAATTCATCTTTTCCATCCAAACAAACATCTCCTGGATTTCAAAATCAACAAGGATTCAGAGGAAGAAACCAAAACAACCAACAATTGAGGGGAAATCAAGGGTATCAAAATCCTCAAGGGTACCCACCACAACAACAATTTTCATCACCTCCTCAACAACGACAACAATTTGTTGGAGTTAATGATTTCCAACAGATGATGCAAGGTATTACTAATCAATTCTCTCAACTCGCAACCCAACTCAATCAAATTCAAGTTCATAATAAAATGCTAGAGAGCCAAATTGCTAGTTTTGCTTCACCATCCACTAGCAAAGTTCAAGGCAAATTGCCTGCCTACTCTGAACATCCCAAGGAGAATGTCAATGCAATAACTACAAGGAGTGGAAAACAACTTTCTGATCCATCACTTGTAGTTGAAAAAGAAAAGATAACTGAAAAAGAGACTTCACCACCAAAGGAGAGTAACAAAGAAGGTCTCAATTTTCCAACACAAGAGGGCACGAAAAAGGTAGTTCAACCATATATTCCGCCTTTACCATTTCCTTACAGAGCAAAGAAGAACATAATTGATGAGAGGAGGGATAAATTCCTCAAATGGATGGGACAACTTAACACAACAATTCCACTTCTTGATGTTGTGAAACATATGCCTTCATATTCCAAATTTCTGAAGGAAATTTTTTCCAACAAAAAGAAGTTTGAGGAGAAAGCTACAGTGGCCATGAGCGAGGGATCCAGTGCTATCATTCAAAAGAAACTTCCAAAAAAATGAAGGATCCAGGTAGCTTTACTATTGCATGCATTATTGGAGGGTTCATGGTCAACAAAGCTTTGTGTGACCTTGGGGATAGTGTTAGCCTTATCCCTTATTCAATGAGCAAACGATTCAGTCTTGGTATTCCCAAAGCTACTTTGTTGACCATTCAGCTTGCTGACCGATCTGTTAAGCACCTTGTTGGTATTCTTGAAGACATTCCTGTACAAGTTGGGAAATATTTCATCCCTTGTGACTTTGTCGTCCTAAACATGGATGAAGATGAGCGAGTACCTGTCATATTAGGAAGGCCTTTCTTGGCCACTGCTGGTGCCATCATTGATGTTAAAAAAGGTACGTTAATAATTGAAGTGGAGGATGAAAGGGGTGAGTTCAATATTTTCCAAATGGCAAAAAATCCTTCATGTGTGGAAGATTGTTGGAGGTTTGATATAGTTGATGAATGTGTGAGAGACTTCATGGGATTCTTTCACAATGATCCTATGGAAGCTTATGCTATGGAGGAAATTGAAAAAAAAACATGAGGGAGAAGAGTTAGTTGAGTGTGTAAAAAACAAAGAGAGATGTGAAAAAAATCATGAGGGGGGGGGGGGGGGGGGGAAGTGGACAAACTGGAGAGAGAAGAAGTGAGGGAAACTAATAGCACAAATGAACCACCCAAAGTTGAGTTGAAGCCTTTACCATCACACCTAAGATATGCTTATCTTGGTGAAAACTCTACTTACCCAGTGATTATTAGCACTAAATTGAATGAGGAGGAAGTAGACAAGCTATTGGTCCTATTGAGAAAACACAAACAGATCATTGGATACTCCATCGATGATCTAATTGGCATCAGTGCTAACTATTGTATGCTCAGAATTTATCTTGAGGAAGGATGCAAACCAGTTGTTGAACATCAAAGGAGACTTAATCCTAACATGAAGGATGTTGTGAAGAAAGAAGTTATCAAACTTCTTGATGTTGGTATCATTTACCCTATCTCGGACAGTAGATGGGTAAGTCCACTCCATGTTGTACCAAAGAAAGGAGGTTTCACAGTTCTTCCAAATGAGCATAATGAGCTCATTTCTACTCGCTTGGTCACGGGATGGAGAATGTGCATCGATTACAGGAAGCTTAACAAATTCACAAATAAGGATCATTATCCTTTACCTTTCATTGATCAGTTACTTGAGAGGATGGCAAACCATAGCCATTATTGCTTTCTCGATGGATTCTCAGGATATTTTCAAATCATGATTCATCCAGATGATCAAGAAAAGACTACCTTCACGTGTGCCTATGGTACATTTGCTTTTCAAAGAATGTCATTTGGCTTATGTAATGCACCCGGAACTTTCCAACGATGTATGATGGCTATATTCTCTGATCTTATTGAAGAAATTATGGAGGTATTCATGGATGATTTCTCTGTCTATGGGACCTCATTTGACTCGTGCTTGGATAATCTTGATAAAGCATTGACTCGTTGCCAAGAGGCAAATCTTGTCCTAAACTGGGAGAAGTGCCATTTCATGGTAACAGAAGGAATTGTTCTTGGGCATAAGATTTCATCCATAGGCATTGAGGTAGATCCAGCAAAGATTGAAGTGATCGAGAAGTTAGCACCGCCAACATCTGTTAAAGGCATTCGAAGCTTTTTAGGGCACGCTGGATTCTATCGGCGATTCATCAAGGATTTTTCTAATATTGCAAAACCACTCACAAGACTCCTATCCAAAGAGGTTGAATTTATATTTGATGATGCTTGTCTTAATTCTTTTTGTAAAATTAAGAAAGCATTATGTTCTGCACCTGCCATTCAACCACCAGATTGGAGCATGCCTTTCATCCTAATGTGCGACGCCAGTGATTATGCTGTAGGAGCCATGTTGGGACAGAAACAAGGTCGTTGCATACATGCAATTTATTATGCAAGTCATACTCTCGATGATGCTCAACAAAACTATGCCACAACAGAAAAAGAGTTACTCGCAGTTGTCTTTGCCATAGAGAAGTTCAGGCCATATCTTGTTGGAGGCAAAGTGATAGTTTACATTGATCACTCAGCTCTAAAGTACCTGTTTGCAAAGAAGGAGGCCAAGCCACGACTTATTAGATGGGTGTTGCTACTGCAAGAGTTTGACATCGAGATCCTTGACAAAAAAGGGGTCTGAAAATGTCATCGCTGATCATTATAAATTCGTCACATTATAAATTTTCAAAATCTGATTTTTAAAAAAAATACGAATAAAAAATTATACATATGGGAGAACTATCAAATAAGCCCTTGAACTTTCATAAAAAGTGCAAATAAGCCCTTTTACACAAGGCTTTGTCCGGCTGTCTCCATTTGGGGCGGTTTCCGGTAGAATTGTTTTATGAAATTTTTTGAACATCTTCTTCATTAAGGCTAGTTTATCCATACCAAATTTCAGCTAAAAAATCAATCGATAAGGCAGTCAAATAATTTTCTGAAATATATTGCGCTGTCTAGCTGCGCAATTATCTTCAAAAATTCATTTGACTGCCTTCCCGATTGAATTTGTAGCCGAAATTTGGCATGAGTAAACTAGATTTAATGAAGAAGATAC